TGTCTGAGGGTTGGCACCAGTGGAAGGGGGAAGTTATAAGGAAAGGATGTAGGAGGGTGAAAATGGTGGAGATATTATGTACTCATGTATGAAAATGGAAAAATGAGACCTACTGAAACTATTTCAGGAATGGGGGAGGAGGAATAAAGGAGAATGATGGAGGAGGTGAATTCAGCTATGATATATTATATCATATATATATATAACATTTGATAAATATATATATATATATGTAACATTTGATAAATGTTACAACATACCCCCAGTACAACAATACTATAATTTTTTAAAGCCACACCCTAAACATCAGCTAGGTCTGGGGCTGGGAGTTTACACAGGTAATCTCTATCAGATAGAGCAGAGAACTGAGAATCTCACATAGGTAATCTAGTAAGAAAAAGATCCAGGCCCAGGATCCCATCCTAAGGATTGGATTGAAAATTCCTCAATAAATATTCCAGCTCCAAATGCTGATGCTATCCTTCTCACTCTAGTGACATCCCACTTTCAGTCTATTGGAAGGGTACTGCTTTCCTAATGAACTTTGCTATCACTTTTATTATGTTTTCGTGCCTTGTCTGACCAAGGTATATAACATTTCTGGTAACGGCCAAATGAAGTCCGTTTTCCTCTGTGAAGCTACCCCACTCCCCTGGCTTTCTGGGGGTCCCTGCCACAGGCAGTGAGGATGGCTGGCTCCAAATAAATAGGTGTTGCTTCTTTTCCTTTGGGTGGTCTTTGTTTATTGCCACACTATCAATTGCCCTCTGGCAAAAATAACCCCAGTCCTGTGTGCAGGAGAATGTGGGTCCCTGCACACAGTCTACAGACACAGATTTCCATAAAGTGTGTGAGGTAGGGCATCCTGAGGCCAGCACTTCTGATTCTCCCTGTTTCCCATCTTTAAAACGAGTACTCAGTTCCTCACACTTACTAAGCAGATACTCTACCATTTGAGCCACTCTGCCAGCCCTATTTTGTGTTGAGTGTTTTCAAGACAGGGTCTCGAGAACTATTTGCCCAGGACTGACATGAACCAAAATCCTCCTGATCTCTGCCTCTTGAGCAGCTAGGATTATAGGCAAGAGCCACCAGTACCTGGTGTTTATGTAATAAGTGCTATCGTGTTTTAAAGATGAAACACATAGGCTGAGCACCAGTGGCTCACCCCTCTAATCCTACCTACTTGGGAGGCAGAGATCAGGATTATAGCTTAAAGCCAGCTCAAGCAAATTGTTCAAAAGACCCTATCTCAAAAAAGCCTTCACAAAAAGGGCTGGTGGAGTGGTTCAAGGTGCAGGCCCTGAGTTTAAACCTCAGTACCACAAAAAGAAAAAAAAAAAACAAATGAAATATATACTGTACCCATCAAATGTGGGTCTCCCTTTTCTTGGTCGAGGATGCTACTGGAAGCTGTGAGGCTCTAGGGAAAGTGGCCCTTGGGTACTGAGTTTGTGATGTTGTCACAAAAAGGAATTTGAGGACACATCACAAGGTAGAGACCAAGAAAGTTTATCAGCAAAGAAAGGATAGTGCACAGCCAAACACGGGCTCAGGCACTTCTTATAACAGGTGCAGTGAGTGAGAATGCTAACATTAGACGTATTCATGGTGGAAAAGGAGATTGCGGGTTCAGCTTAAATTCATTTTAGGACAAGTGCTCTCCTTCATTCTGAACATCTGGTACATTTAATCACTATCAGTTGGACCAGAGAGATCAAGGTTGGTTTGTTTTTTAAACTTGGGCCATTATGACAAAGATGTCTGAACATTCCTTTAAATAATGAATGGGTTTTAGCAGTCACTCCTTTTCGACAGGTGTCTATCCTTGAGATAAATGTTTTCCCTTTGCAAACACTTCTGTGATCAAATGTGTCTCGCCTACTGTTATTTTCACATAACAGTAAAAATATCTTTCTTGAAGATCTTTTTGCTTTTTCCTAGAGGATACTAATGATTTGGGCAAGCTGGCAAGGTGGGAGGGAGAGAGCTGCCCTTCCCCCTCTCTTTTTTTTGTGGCAGCTTGGAGACTGAGCCCACATGAGGCTTAAAGCAAAGAAAAACACACTTGTGTAGTTTTAACCAAGTGATTCTGTAACACAATATTTATCTGTGAATTCCTGGCCCCTGTTTCTCACGCCTCATTTTCCCTGATCTGTCCTGCCTCCAGGGGTGGTCCTCCTCCTCCAATCTTCCCTGCTTTTCCTGACAATTCTCTGGTGCTCCACAAATATACATTTAAGCAACGGATGGAATTTGTTGAATCCATAAATCTTTGACATCTAAAAGGTGAGTAGAGTCTTTGGAGAACTCTACTCGAAAGACTCCCATCTCTTCAATGAGCACGACATTCAGAAGACATTCACTCAGGCCACCTCTAGAGTATGGGGTTCCTGAATTTAGAGTTTTCTTATGTACAAAAGCAGATAAATATTAGCTTTTCAACCTTCATGCCGAACCTCTGAGCAATGCCAGTTTCTTTCCCCTGGGGCATTTTTTCAGACATTAACAGGACCACAAATAGTAATTTCTCCCTCCTCTTCCCCCAAGGGACTAGCAAAGAAAGCACCCTAAAGACAAAGACAAATGCAGCTTTGGGTAACAGCTAGTAAAGGCATACTGGTTAGCCAGGTAGAATGTAAGGTCTCTGCAGATATAAAAAAAAGTCCCTTCCCTGATTTCTGACTGACATTTTTATATGTACCACTGTTACTGGCTTTTATTTTCTAAGACATGATTAGGTAGGACATTCACCTCCCTGATAAACAACTATAATCAACACCACCAACACTGTTCCCAAGATCATCGTGTGACAAAATCACTAACCCCTGAGGTTTGGGGTTTTTAAATCAAAACGCCACTCACTAGCTAGATGGAAAACAACATGAACAAACGTTGCACTAGAAAACTCTGTGGCACATAGGGTTCTGATAACTCTCTAGTGATTTGATTCCTTGGCTCAAAATCACTTGGAAAGAAAATGGGGATGTAGTGTCAACATATTTAATTATCAATTCTGCAACAAGTCAATTAATTTGCTAAACACATTTCATTTAACAAAATTGTAAGTATCTCCTTTTTCTTCTAAGAAAAGATTATTACAGCTTACTTTTATATTCACTGAGTCAAGTTTTATATTATGTGGGCTTTGCTAATACAGAATGTATAACCACACACTTCTGCCTGGGAAGTTGTTTTATCATTTTTATGGCATAATATTAAGCAATTTACAGTAAAGAGCAGATGTAATGAAACACTGCTTATAAAGTTTATTTAGATACATTTTTAATCATAGCAATTATCTTATTGCATAAGTGATACTTAATTTTTCAAAATTGAATTATAAAAAGAACAAGCTTCATAACATAACTTAGAAGGGATATAAGATGTTTGTGTGCAAAACACTTGTATGCCAAAATGTAGCTTCTATAAAAACTTTTTCTTTGGTGGGACTGGGATTTGAACTCAGGGCTTCAAGCTTAAAAAGCAGGCACTCTATCACTTGACCCACACCTCCAATCCATCTTGCTCTGGTTATTTTGGAGATTGAGTCTCTCAAACTGTTTGCCTTGGGCTGGCCTCCAACAGTGATCCTCCCAATCTCAGCCTCCCAAGTAGCTAAGATTACAGGTGTGATCTGACCATGCTTTGATTTTACAATAGGAAAAACTACAATTTTTGTGTTTTGCACTATACAAATAATCTACTACATCACTATTATTTCTAATATATCGATGCCCTCTGTCAAGTTAAAGACAAGGTTCTAAGCTCCTATTTGCAAATATCTTTAAACATAATTCTTGGGCTGGGACTGTAGCTCTGTGGTATCGAGTCTGCTGAGCATGGGGAGGCCTGAGGGTTTGATCCACAACACTGTCAAAAAATAAATAAATAAAAATGTACATAAATATCTATAGTCCTTGAAACACCAAATTGGATACAACTATTCTATCACCCCTTCATTTTTTTTAAGTCTAAGGACACTATTTATGCTATTTAAAATAAGAATTTTATCAGGCCAGACGCTGGTAGCTCACGCCTGTAATCCTAGCTACTCAGAAGGTAGAGATCAGGAGGATGGCAGTTCAAAGCCAGCCTGGGCAGACAGATTTTGAGACCCTATCTTGAAAAAAACCCATCACAAAAAAGGGCTGGTGGAGTGCCTCAAATGGTAGAGGGCCTGCCTAGCAAGCATGAGGCCCTGAGTTCAAACACTGCTACCACCCAAATAAATAAATAAATAAACTATCAGATTTGGTGAAGTTCATACTGAGACAAGCGTGCAGAATTATCATTTCCCTTATGTATTTTTTAAGCTTCCTGTCTTTAACAACTAGTCAGTAATATGCTCAAAATTTAAAATGACTTAAAACAACTTTCAAAACCTTAAACCAAACGTTCAGGCTGGAGAGGGTTTATTGCTACTCTACCTTGTTTCATCATTTATAAAAGATTGAGTGTATCTGGATTTTTTTTTTTTTTTTTTTTTTGCAGTACTGGGGTTTGAACTCAGGGTCTGATTTTGTGATTTTTTTTTTTTTTTTTTTTTGAGATAAGGTCCCTGAACTATTTGCCTGGGCTTGCTTTCAACAGCAATTGTCCTGATCTCTGCTTCCTGCGTAGATAGGATTATAGGTGTGAGCCACTGGCTTCGGGATCTGGATGTTTTAAATAGGTGTCAAATGGCCACACCTGGGGGTTGAAGACTCCAGGCCACTAAATGTGCCGGCATCTTTATTTTTTTGGCAGTACTGGGGTTTAAACTGACGGCCGCACCATTCTGCCAACCCCCAACAAATTAAAGAGACAAAAAAGCAGATGCCCTGCGCGTCTTGGTGGGCGGGGTTGGCAACTGGGCCCCGCCTCCAGAGGGGCGTGGCTCTGTGGGCCTGGGGCGGGGCGAGACGGGGCGGGGCCGGGCGCGGGCCGGATGTGACCGGAACCCTGTGTGCGCGGCCGCGTTTCCGGGAGGGACACTCAGGAAAGGACCCCCGGTGCTCCTCAGATAGACAACCCTACCTGTGGGGCCTGATCGCAGCCATGAGGTTTCGTGCCAGGATCCTGGACACCGCCTGCCTGAACCACTTCACGCGTGAGCTGGGGGGAGCGAGGGAGCTTGGGAAGGAGGTCGAGAGCGTGCGGCGGGAGCTCGGGATTGCAGGAGGGTGGGCGTGGGCTGGATGAAGGGGGAACTCGATTCCGATCATGTAGGATTATTGTTTTGCTAGGATCCCAACCCCATTTCTCCCAGCGCCCAGACCTTGCTTTGCATTCAGTTATGGTCCGTAAATTTGTGCCGAGTTTATGAATGGCTCCTAGGTGCCTGCTAGTCTCTGAGACTCTGTTTCTTTCTAAGCACTGATGATGTGTGCTGCACACCTCCAAGGTTGTTGGGAGACTGGCATGACGTCAGCGGTGGTGAAGCACCTGGATGAGCTAGCGATGAACTCTAGCATAGACAATGTTCTCCTTGTCCTTTTTTTGTGTGTGTGGCGTTGGGGATCAACCCACACCCTTTGCATGCTAGGCAAGCTCTGTACCACCAAGCAATAAGCCCAGCCCTCTTTGTTGTCTTTTTTTTTTTTTTTTTTTGGAAGGGGGTGGTACTGCGATTTGAACTTGGCCTCATGCTTGCTAGGCAGGTGCTATTACTGGTTGAGTGACACCTGCAGTCCATTTTGTTATGGTTATTTTGAAGATGGGGCCTTATGAACTATTTGCCCAGACTGACCTCCAACTGAGATCCTCCCAATCTCAGCCTCCCAAGTAACTAGGAAGACAGACATGAGCCACCAGAGTTCAGCCCTCCTTGTCCTTTCTAATCTCTTAAAGTTATCTTTTTTTATGATATTGGAGATTGAAGCTAGGGACTTGTACACACTACTACATAAGTGTTCTACTTAGCTACACCCTCAGCCCAATAATGTGCATCTTTTTGTGTGTGTGTGTGTGTGTGTGTGGTGCTGGGATTTGAACTCAGGGCCTACACCTTGAGCTACTCCACCAGCCTTTTTTTTTTTTTTTTAATAGGTTTTTCTAGATAGGGTCTTAACGAACTGTTTGTCCAGGCAGGCTTCGAACCATGATTCTCTTGATCTCTGCCTCTTGAGTAGCTAGGATTACACGCATGAGCCAATGGCTCCCACCCCAATAGCATCTTAGAAACTCCTTACTTTACTTCTCTCTCTCTTTTTTTTTTTTTTCTTGGTACGACTGGAGTTTGAACTCAGGACTTCACACTTGCAAAGGCAGGTGCTCCATTACTTGAGCCACACCTGCAATCCATTTTGCTCTGGTTATTTTTGGAGATGGGGTCTTGAGAACTATTTGCCCAGGCTGGCCTCCAACTGAGATCTTCCTAATCTCAGCCTCTCAAGTAATTAGGATGACAGGCGTGAGCCACTGGAGCCTGGCTTACTTTACCTCTCTTGTTTCAGGAGTTGGTAGCATGATAGCCAAGCTGGCCAAAATCTGTACACTCCGCATTAGCCCCGACAAACTGAACTTCATCCTCTCAGACAAGCTGGCCAGTGGTGGAGTGAGCATGTGGTGTGAGCTGGAGCAGGTGAGCAGGAGTTCCCAGAGGCCCCAGACTTGGCCAAGTGCCACTGGAAAGGCCACAGACGCCCATTCTCTTCCCACAGGAGAACTTTTTCAGTGAATTTCAAATGGAAGGGGTCTCTGCAGAAAACAATGAGATTTATTTAGAACTCACATCGGAAAACTTATCTCGAGCCTTGAAAACTGCCCAGAATGCCAAAGCCTTGAAAATCAAACTGACTAATAAGCACTTTCCCTGCCTAACCATCTCTGTGGAGCTGGTGAGTAAGAATGAGGTTTCTGAAATTTCCTGGAAGGGTCTTGACCTGGAAGAAATGCAAGGAGTGACAAGCCTGAGCTTTTTAACAGTGTTGTTGAAAGCTAATTGGTTTGGTTTAAATTTATTTTCAGTTGGGTGTTCAATCCTTGTTGTTTTAAAATAATGTTGGAGGGCTGGATGTGTAGTCCAAGTGGTAGAGCACCTGCCTTGCAAGCACAAGGACCTGGGTTCAAGGCCCAGTACTACTGAAATACATAGTTAAATAAAATAATGTTGTGATCACACAGTGTTCAACTAACATGCTGCCTTTTCCAAATAGTAAGACATTCAGAAGCTCTGTTTGTTTCAGTGGTATTGTTACCTAGTCTAGAAATTATAATTTCTGTCCATTTTTCTCTTTGCCATTTCCTCCTCCACTCTTACCTGCTGTAATACCTTTAAATAACCAGTCATTCTTCGCTAACACACTTACCTTTCCTGCTGCTGCCAGGTGAGTTTAGTGCACAACTGTCCTCAGAACACACACATACACAACATACACGGCATACACACACAGTATAAAGTTCACATTTCTACTTGGTGATGTGGGGGAGAAGGAGGTTGTGATACTGGGGTTTGAACTAAGTACTTTGTGCTGATTAGGCACGGCTCTACCACTTAAGCCACACCCAGCCCCTTTTGCTTTAGTTACTTTTCAGATAAGGTCTCAAATTTTGTCCAGGGCTGGCCTTGGACTTTGATCCTCCCAATGAAGTTCATTTTTTCACATATGTTCAAAGCCTTTCACATATGGCCCAACCTATCTTGGAGACAGATTACAAATTACTACCCTTTGAGTGTTTTCCTGGATGTGTCCCATTGACTCCCACCTCCAAGACTGGTGATGTTGAACCTTCCACTTGGAGTCTATGTCCTTCTGTCTCAAACTCTTCCTTGAGTGCTCAGCACCAGTACTGTCTGGCCTCTGTTATCCTTACAGCTCTCCTTTCTTGTATGTTGTATGTGCTCTGCACATCTATTGGTGACCATTGTATTTGATATCAAGCTGTATTTGGAACAGGACTTGTCAATTGTTCTTGATAATTTTTTTCTCAATTCTTGGCAGTTAGACAGTTTTAGAGCTAATCAGACCATTCCATGTCATGATGTAAGTATGGAGTCTCCTTAATTTTTTAAGGAAAAGTAAGCTAGTAACATCCTATCTAAAAGTACAAGATACTTTGGTCTCAGAGTCTCACAGAAGCTCCTAGAAGTAGATAAGTATAGTTTATCGATTCAGCAGTACAGAGAATGCACCCATGCGGGAGGTCCAGTACATGAAGAATGGTCTCTGGGTTGTCTCAGAATAGCAAGTTTGCTTCTTTCCACCTCCCAGTGTTGTATACTATTCCCCTGCTCAAAACTCTGTCCCCGTCTTCCCATGAAGTCAGCTTCTGTAGTTTTTGTCATCTGTAATGCCACCCTCTCAGAGAGTTCTCCCTTGCCCTCCCCCTCTCCCAGCCTGGTCACTGCTGTGTTTTCTTTAAGGCTCTAATGAGCATCTCACATCATTTTGTTTGTTTGCTTTCTTATTGATGCATTTGTCCCACTGGCATATCCAGGACCTTGTTGTCTTTTTCAAAAACCATACTTCCCAGCTACTCACAGAGCCCAGAGCAGAAAAGGCACACCATCAATCGGGGTTGGGTGGATTTCAAGTAGATGAACCGAGAAAATTCCACTTAGGCTTGGGTATTTCACATTTTTTACCCGTAGTTGTCTGGTTTGATTTTGTTTTCAATATTGACAACAAAAAATATTTTCACTCTTTTCTTAGCAGTTATCTATGTCAAACAGTAGTCGCACTGTGACACATGACATCCCCGTAAAGATTATTCCTAGAAAATTGTGGAAGGACCTTCAAGAACCCTCGATCCCAGACTCTGATGTAAGTGTCACCCACAGTCCTGTTGCACACACACATTAAAGGGCGAGATCTGAATTCGAGAATTCCTGTTGTGATCTTGCAGTATGTTGTGTAAAAGGTGGAGAGTTTCTGAAAAGAAAGTGGTATTCGTGTTTAAAGGATAGGAAAAGAGATGTGAATCTTTGCCTTTGTTATTTATGTAATCGCTTGTAAAGCTGTCGCATGCAGTAGGAATGCCATACTCTTGACACCTATGAGGGAGGATTCTGTACTCAATAAATGCCTTTAAATAAAATAAAACAACACTGAAGCCATACTTGGGAAGATAGTCTGTATTATCAGGACTTGACCTTAGGCACCAGTTTGGGTTCATAGGACTTGATGTCCTGATGTGTGTAAGAAAGTCACAGAGGCATTTTCCTAACTTAGATCCTAGCTTAACCATGTGCTGAGAGGAACCATACAGCCACTAAGAAGGGTGATGTTAAAGACCCTTTGCCTCTTGCTCACAGTTTATTCAAGAAGAAATCACAGACATATTGTATTAGATGTTTATTTGACTTTCACTAGAAGACGTCTATACTGACGTGGAAAAAGCCAGTATTTTGTGAAGCACCATTAGTAGCACAGCCCCAGGTGAGTTGCAGTAACTGCTTGCTGTATTTTTGCACATAGTACAGAAAAGGCCCCTGGGTCCTGTATATAAATATTCCTCAGGGGAAGTCTTTTTGCTGAGTGCTTGGCTTTTATTCCCCTTGGACCTGTAGAGAGGCATCTCAGCTGAAATGCTGTCCTCCTTATTAAAACAAAAGAATGCCCTTTGGGGTGTGGTTGCCTAGGTAACTGGAGGCAGTTCTTTAATTTTGCTTGAACATCTATCTGTAAGTTAGTGAAATTATAAAATGGTTTTTCCTTTCATTTTTTTAAAAACTTTATTCAGAAAAATCTTAAATCAGGATTTTAGAGTTCTTGAATGTGCATACAATCCAAAATTAGTTACCGAACACCTGTTATGTCTTGTAATTTCTCATATTGGTTTTACAGGTTAGTATTTATTTACCAGTCTTGAAGACTATGAAGAGTGTTGTGGAAAAAATGAAAAACATCAGCAATCACCTTGTAAGTTAGAACTTCTTTAGAAAAGAATTTTACCTGAGGTTTAGCCTACATGGGATGCTTATCCTGGGAGGTGGACTCTGCAAAGACCCAAGCGCCGTTGCTCCTGTGCCACCGCAAGGCATCCAGAAAGTGAGTTTCTCCTCCTCACAGCCCTGCTTTGGAGGGCCTGGTCTGGTGTTGAGGCCAAGCAGCATACAGTTGCCATTGAGAACCTGTTCTACTGCTTTTCCACTTCATTTACTGGGAAAGCCTTCATGTTTGGCTTTAATCCTCATATTTATACCTGTAATACATGAAGAATGTGTTCAATGGTTCTGGTGTTTTTCCTTTTAGTTTGGACAGAACATTACATTGTTTTTGTTTGTTTGGTGCTGGAGATGGAACCCAGGGCCCAGTATATACTAAGAATACATGCTGTCACTGAGCGATAGCCCCAGAACGTTAATCTTTTATCACCTGTGTGTGTACTTTTAATGAGTCACTGATATGATTGATGATGAGCATGGAGTGTTCAATCTGTCATTCAGTGGGCCATGGACCAAGCCCTCTCCACATCACAACTGTCTTCATCAGTGGGCCATGGACCAAGGCCCCACATCACATCCATCACTCAGCCATGAACCAAAGCCCCACATCATAGCCCTCACGCAGTGAGCCAAGGACCAAGGCCCCGTATCACAGCCATCACTCAGTGAGTCGTGGAAAAAGGCCACCACGTCACAGTGTCTGCCTTCCAGGCAGCTCTCACACCAAACTGATGGACTTTTTTTTTTTTTTAATTCCATGATTTCCAGCTGCCACATCACAAAATTAATAATGATGGGGAATTTGTGAATGATCTTCGTTTCCACCTGGGCTTGTCTGATTCTCCCTTCACTCGGCCCCCAAACCACATTTACTTGTCCCTAAATCTCTTAAAAGCCATTGTCTACCTGATGAATGTAAATCTTTGATCTTCCCAATCTACCAGACCCTCCCTGCAGATCACCCTGGACTGTCATTCCCCATAGAACCCCTTTTCAGCTGCTGTGTCGTGGCTGTTTAATGCTCAGCTTCTTAGTCTGTTGTCTCCTGGAAGTGCTTATCCATTCTTGCTGTTCATTGCAGACTTTCCCACTACCTGGCAGGAAGCCCTTCGTCTACTGAGTCTCGCCAGTGTGCACTGAATCTTCCAGTACCTCAGGCTCTTGCTGAACTTCTTTCTCACGGGAAGGGAGAGACCCTGTCCTAATCTTTGTGTCCCAGTGGGCAGAGTAGCATTGCCCCTCAGTAGGTCATAATCAGTGTTGCTGCATGGATCAAGAATGAAACTTATCTTCAATGTATTGTTAGGTCAAAAAAGTTATTTGAAATCCAGGAAACATTCATGAGTGTTTTTTCCTTGACTCCTGCTCACCTGAGACCAGTGCTCACGTTGGGTTCACCCACTGGAAGCTTTTCCCTATAACTTCACCTTCACAGATCTCACTTGTGTCTAGGCCTGCTTCCCACAAGGCAGTGTGCACTGTCCTGAAGGCACTGTCTGTTTGGCGACTGCCATGGTGTTGATTCAGTTGTCAGGATGGCTTCCTCTAGGGTACCTTGGGACCTCCAGAAGGTTCAGAGTGACCCATGGGAGAAGGCCAGGCAATTAATTGAAGGACGTATTTGTTCTTTCTGTTCTGTGGAAATGATTCAGCAAAGTTGAAGGGTAGCATAGGGAGAATCATCAGAAGTGTTTTTTCTTCTGTGGCATGTCTTAAACACAGTCATTGTGTGAAGAGGCTACTATAATCTGGAATTGCTAAATGGAAGGTTGTCAGGTTGGACGGACAAATTCGTAATGAGATCCAGCTGGGAAGCAAGAGCCTGTGTGTGAAATGATGGGCAGTAGAGCCAAGGAAAATGTGTGGAGCTCAGCACTCTAAAACTGGTCACCTTCCCCTCAGGGGTGCTCCTTCCCTTACTTCAAGTCAGTGCAAGAAGTGACTTGTAGAGTGGCTTGTGTATATGACGAGTGCAGAAGAAGTACCACCAGAATCCACAGCGTGTTCCAAGACACTGCTTCTAAGCCCTACCGTGGCTGTGCATCTCCTAAGGTGGATTGGGGCAGTCTGACCATCACCTGGTGGTGCCGATGCTGTGTTTGGACCACATCCAGTAGCAGTGCTTAGAGATGTGCTCCGCTGGAGGTGACTTCAAATGTGAGGTCACAGACAGACTTCAGAGGATCAGCTGAACAACTCCAGTGAGAGCACGCTTTCGGGTAGAGGCGCCATGATGTGCTACAAGAGGGTGGCTTTGCAGCCATACCTTTGGGTGTGTTTGCACTAGTGCTGAGTATTACCACCCTCGATGAGCATGAAATGCAGCTATCACAACTGTTCTATCACTTATGTAAATTTAGAGACAACTTACGGTACAATTAGTGCTGTTACTTAAAGAAGTTATTGAAAGAAGTAAGATCTCGTCCACATAGTTAAGAAATTGATTATGGATGTTCGTAGTAGTTCAGATAAAAACTGCATCATAAAGTAGGCACGAAGGCTGGCAAGGTGGCTTAAGTGGTAGAGCACCTGCCTAGCAAGCATGAGGCCCTGAGTTCAAGCCCCAGTGCTGCCAAAAGAAAAAGAAAATAAGCATGAGTGACTGTTGTTCAGGGAATTGATTGGTTGGTAATTCCTTCACAAAGTGTCGATTCAGTGCTATCATATGCTAGACACTTGGTGGATTGGGGAGAGTTGGAATCTAAAGATCCATTACTCGGATTTTAGAAACAGGAAGACACAGAGAGCATGTAAGCCTGAAGTGAGTCTAGAACCAGTGCACACTGCTCTTTTACCATGGTAGTTTACAGATCGGGGGTGTAAACATGAGTGTTCATCGTGTGTTAGCTTACAGAGCCCAGTGGGAGTCAAAACGGTCACAAGGACTACTTTGTGAATTTTATTTCAGTCAAGTATTGTTCAGGTTGTGGGAGAAGAGGTTAAGAAATGTGGCAATGAATTTCTGGGTTAATGATAGAAAAAGGTTTAAAATGAATGCTTTTACTTAAGTTTAGTAGATAAGCAACAAGTAAATTGGGGGAAAGGCTAAGAGATAAGAGTTCACCCAAATTCAAAAATCCCCTTTTCGTTTTGTTTCTTGAAAGAGAAAGATTCCAAATTCAGCAATTTTAAGGGACAAAAATGAGGAAAACTAGGTGATATTCCCTAAACAGGACTCTAGCAGAGCTGTGCAGATGGGATGCCCTGCCGTTCCTCTCTCCCTTTAGCACTTTGAGTATGGCCCTGCTCATGGTGACACCTGTGCTCACCTTCCCAGTTCACGTGGTTCACTCATACTACTACCTGGCAAAATGCTTACAACACACTGCTCGAGTGCTTTCCGTAGACCTGCTGGGCTCTAACAACAGGCTGATACCAACTTGCAGAAGAGAAATACAGCATCCCACAGGCAGGTTAGCAAGTCTTAAACCATACTGTGTTACATTGGGATAGGGGCTTGAAAGGGAGCCTCTATGACCTGTGGGGACAGACTCAGGGCAGGGAGAGCAGGAGTTGAAGAGACAACCCTGATGGGGGAGATGTGAGGAAGAGGCAGAGGCCTCATCTGCCTCCCAGCTGTGCTGTGAGGAGTCAGTTGTGGTAATCAGGCAGTACCCTATACCTCATGTACTTGTAAATAAGGCTGTGTTCTCAGAAAACTCCAGTAGCTTTGTGATCATATTAAATGTGTGGTTACAACAGAAATGATGGGTTGCACTTTGCATCTGCCTGCAGAACGTCTTCAGCTCTCTTAGGTGGACTTACTGGTTCTGGTTTTCTTCTTTTCAGATTACATATATATGATTCAGTCACAGTCCTTTAGTGATGATGTTCAGTACTATAAAGTAGAGGAGGTTTCATTGTAGATGTGGGAGTGGACGGAGAATTTTTTAGACCAGGCACAGGTGGCTCATATCTATTATCCTAGCTTCTCAGGAGATGGAGATGGGACAGATTGTGGTTTGAGGCCAACCAGGCAAAAAGTTAGTGAGACCTCCACCTCAACCAAAAAAGCTGGGTGTGATGGCATGAGTCTGTCACCCTAGCTACTTGAGAAGCATAAATAGGATGGGGGTCCAGGCAGCCCAAGTCTAAATGCTAGACTCAAAAAAATAATTAAAGCAAAAAGAGCTGAGGGCAGGGATTAAGTGGTAAAATACCTGCCTAGCAAATGCAAGGCCCTGTGTAAACCACAGTACAGTACCACCACCCCAAAAAAGATAGTTTTCTAATTTAGACATATTTATTCTTTGTATCCTCAAAATATTAAGACTGTCCTGGAGCCACCTCTCTGGGGCTTTCTGAGATACATCTTTCTTCTCTGCTTCTTGTAACCTTCCCTCAGCTCTCTTGGTGTCTGTCCTGCTCAGCTGGGGTCCATCCTTCTGCTCTGTGCCTTTCCAGTGCAGGCCTCACTCCTGCTGTGAAGGAGCACCCATCATTGCACAGGCCTCCAGAGCAGACATTTGTCACGGTCTCCAGGCAGGGTGCCTCCCACTTTCCAGGATCACATCTCCCACTGAGTTCTTTGCTAGGAGTTTGGGGGAATTTCTGAGTCCTGGGCTGTTGGGACTTAGCTGCTCTCTTGTTGATACCAGGTGGACTTGGTGCCCTCTAAGGTGTTCTGAGGTTTTGTGGGGTGGCCTTGTCACCTGGCTTTATGGGAGCCAGTGCCCATAGTTTCCTCCTTTTGTATTTTAAGGCTATTTTTCAATGCTCAATTTGTAGATTATTGAAGCAAACCTAAATGGAGAGTTGAACTTGAAGATAGAAACTGAGCTAGTGTGTGTTACCACTCATTTTAAGGATCTTGGAAACCCTCCAGAAGGTAAGTTTTCTCACAGGTTATATTTTGCTGTGGGTAAATCAGATGTTTTAGATCACCTATGCATTGAGTTCTCTTAATGTGAAAGGTTGAAATAGTGTGTCTTTGCTTCGTGAGTGGGGAACGAAGTAAGGTTGGACCCCTGTCCCTGCAGCATGGTGAGACAGTTGGCCTCTTGGGCAAGGGGCTACCCCACCAGCAGCCAAGGGGCCTACACAGGGCTCCTTCCTCCTCTCCAGAATCCAGATCCTGCTGAGACACCTCCCAGATCCCTTCTGGCTCCTCAGTTCTCGTCCTGCCTTAAAAGATTTTAGCCTCTCACCCAGAATGGAGTCAAAAGGACAGATACATTTCTTATTTTCTCCTTCTTTAATCTTGCTAATATTTATAAAATTAGCTCAGCAGTTTCCCAGTGTGACACAGTTATCCTGGACCACACATTTTTCATCTTGTACAAGGCAATAAAAGACTGTAGAGACAGTTCAGTAAGCAGTGAGGGAGGGAGTGATGGAATGCTTGTGTACAGTTAGCTGTGTGCTGAAGCAGGGAGGTGACAGAGGACCAGAGAAAAATCATTTCCTGATACATGTGTTCCCAAGCAGATAAAAAAGGCCTGGTCACTCACAGAATTAAGATTGTTGAGATACACAATGGTAGTGAAGGGTATACTGCTCCAGCAGAGCAAGACCTGCTTGATCAAGGCTTTCACAGCATTGTGTGACATTCCTTTTGGGTGGTGTTCGTTTGTTTATGTTCATAAGCACAAAGTGGGACTGACTTTTGGAACTTTCCAGAAGTTGAAAGACTATTTTCTTTTTTTTTCCATTCTATATGAGTGTAAGAGGCCTTGCATCAGCTATGTACATTTCAGCTTTTAAATTCATAGTGAGTACCAAATATAGTTTTCTTTCATCTAACAGGGAAATTGAGGCATATTTCAAGTTCCATAAGTGAAGATCTCTTGGAAATTTTCATAGCATGTTAAATAGGTAGGACCTAACAGATGCTTGCTTAATGAGTAACGACATTTACAAGTTGAAATATTTCTGCAGGGTGTTAAAAGGATCAGTAAGGACAATGCTTACGGGCTGGCAGAGTGGCTCAAATAGTAGAGCACCTGCCTAGCAAGCGTGAGCCCCTGAGTTGAAACTCCAAACCCCAAAAGAAGATTGTATATTTCCAGGTTCCCTGTTACATCCAGAGACATACTTAAAGACATTTCTGTCATTTTAGCCTCTGCAAACGCCTCTCAAGACAGACACCCGGAGGAGATGACTGAGGTGCATGTAGACATCAAGAAGCTCCTCCAGTTTCTTGCAGGACAGCAAGTGAATCCTACAAAGGCCTTATGCAGTGCGTTGGCTCCTCTGGTTTTTCTTTCTCTCTCAGATCCGTTAGTCACCCCTAGTCTAATCTTGCATACAGTCTTGTAAATGCAAAATAAGCTTTCTAGACCAGCCAGGCTTTTAAAGTCTCATGGATTTGGAAGTGCCCAGGATGGCAGTGAGGAACAACCCTGAGACACCAAGTAAGGGCCTGAGAGCCCATAGCCACATGGTCATGGTTCAGTGTCATAGTCACCCATGTTTGTGGGTCTGTCAGGTTTGCACACTCAGAGGCCTGTGTGCGGTTCCACTCATGCTGTCTCGTTTCCTTTCATTGTCCATTTAACCTGTGCTCATTGCCCCCAGACTGCCCTTCAGAACATTCAGGTCTTCAGGACACTGTAGAGAAAAAACAGACTTCCAGGTGGCTTTGTCAAAACGAGACCTTCTAAATGAGTGGGATGAAAAGAAACCACAGAGAAGAGAGGCCATGGAAGGGTGTGGTGTCAGTACTTAAGGAGTGTGTAATGTGGCTGTCCTGTGTGCAGGGCTTATGGAGACTTGGCTGTCCACACACATCCGTCACTGCCTGGAGCGCAGCTGCCCTTACCTGGAAGGGTGTAGATTTGGGTGAATGGCATTCTCCAGGAAGCCTACTTTCTGGGTTGTCTCCTGCGGCCTGGGCAGCTTCATTCTTCCTTTACCATTCTGTCCCCTGAGGGTGGCAGTTGGCTCATGCTATGACTTCTGCAGAGGCCCTCCGAGAAGACGGACACCTGCCATAGGAAGTGCCCAGGGTGGGTGGCTGTTCTGATCTTCCAGGTGGGGCTCAAATGCGTGTGCTGTAGTGGGTTTTGAGATCATGGGTTTTTCTTTCCCCAGACATTGTGGCTAACAGGCTTGTTCATTTCGACTTGCTCCATGAAGACGTGTCCCTGCAGTACTTCATCCCAGCCTTGTCCTGACATCGTGTCTCCAGATTTGGGAGCGCAGAGACCCGTGTGGTGGCGGGGAATGTGTGCTGAGCCATTGGTCTTCACAGACCACGGAACTCTGCACCATGCTTGTTTCCCTATAACATTTTAACTAAAAGCGAAATTAATGAACACACGGATAAACATATTACTTCCTATTACTCATATCTGGATTTGCTTTTAGTTTTTTTTCTGCTTTTAAGACATTGAGAAGAAAAGCTAGAACTTTTGGACTTTCTCTTCCTTGTTTCGTTTCTGCGATGCTTCGTGCATGCTAGCCGTGCAACCCCAGCCAACCCAGACCTTAAATAGTAGGTTCTCGTGGCAAGTGCAGACGTCCTCATGTGTGGATTTCTGTGGCGTGAGAATCCCAAAGTCTTGCCCTCAGAGCTTGGCACTTCTCCCAGGCTTGGTCTCCAGTTCAGCCTGGTGCCGCACACCAACTGCAAATGGAGCCTGGCTCACCTCTCGCTGCCCAGAGATGGAAGGGACAATCCCTCTGTCCCATCAGCAGCCTCGGATGCAGAGCACTGTGTGACAGCTGCACCACACGCCAACTTGCTGAAGTCCCGAGTACTCACCCCTCTTGGTGCCTGGGAGCTGGCCCAGCCAATACGGTTGTCGTCCGGGAGCCATCCAGCACCCCTTCCCCTTTCTCCCTGGGACCAGGTAAGATCTGATTTTACCTGGGAATAGAACCCAGGGCCTTGCACACGCCGGGCAAGCGCTCTGTATTGAACTGCATTCCAGCCCCTTAGGATATGGCTGTTCTTCCACAGTGCACTGGGTTTGTCCTTCTGGAAAGCTGCATTTGTACTCACAGTAGGAGCAGATGAAGCTGTGAAGTTCACGTCCTCAGCAGGAGATGAGATCACAAAGTCACTCAGTCCCAGCAGGTTTTTCACATTCTCCCTGGAATACATTCTGTCAGATTTTCTATTTTCATTCAGTCTCTGTGCTCCATGGAGGTGACCCAGAAACAGAGTCTTGATGTTACCTTTAAGGTCAAGACCTTAATCATTTAGGACATGAAGATATGGCGTGTCAGCAAGAAGAGATATTTCTTTTAATGTTTTCATATGTGGGGAAAATGATGTATTTGAGTGATTTCTGATGTGTAATGTTAGTCCTATTTTGTTAAACTAACATTTTTAAATTACAGATACTTGATGTTTTAAAGCTTCTCCCCTCTTTGGCTTATAGCAAAATTATAATTCCAGATGCAGTCTTGAAACCTAAAAATCCTGCAAAATGGAAAGATCACACAAAATTCTTTTATACAACTGTGCTTCTGTTACAGTGTGTTAGTGGCCCACCAGTCACTCTGAACAACACGTGCTCTGCAGTGTACCTGACATTGGTTTATGGAAGGCTTAGGGTGTCCTGTCTGTGGACTCTGGCGAACATCAGAAGGCTGTGGTTCTCTGCGTCTCATAGAGCTGTAAACAAGGGAGAGAGCAAACAGAAACCACAAACTTAGGAAAATGTGGGACTGTTCTATTGAACAATATGCCAAGGTAAAGTTCTGTTAAGTCAAGACAGAGCAATTTAGTCCATTTAGAGGAACAAATGTGATTTCTGAATTTTGGAGACAGTCATTGGCTGAAGGAGTTGAGGTTTTTGGACAGTACTGCTTTAATTGTCAGGGCCATTAAGGAAGCCCCTTGCCTTGCCTGCCTGGGCTCAGAGCCCCATGCCCCTTTGGTAGCCTTCTCTTTTCTTTTTTGCAGTCTTGGGGATTGAACCCAGGGTCTCATTCATTCCAGGCAGGTGCTGTACCACTTGAGCCATGCCTCTGGCCCTTGATCTGAGTTTTGAGTCCATCCTTAGCCAGGTGAGGGATGTGAGAATTCCTGATGCAAATGCGTGTGCTAGCAAGCCCCCATGCCGTCCTGCAGCTCTCCTGTGGTCCAGCAGAGAACCATTCATACATCAGGTTCCCAGGCTGTTTATGTGTGGTGCCTCTGACCACAAGGAACCCCACTCTTGGGGGCCTGAAAAGTAGCCTCAGCATTAGTTCTGAGGTGGAACTTCTGGTGTTTAATCATGTCCATTATCTTAGTGTATGTTGTCAGATTAGCAGAGCATCCATTGTTTTGAAGAGATGCAATTCTGTACTTTTTTATTTTAAAAACATTATTTAGAGATAATTCACACGTAACCCACTTAAGCGAACAATCCCGAGGTTTCTAGTTTGTTCACAAAGTCATATGATTATCAACACAACCAGTTTTAGGGCCCTTTCGTCACTAGTAAAGAAACTACCTTGCTGGGCGCCGTGGGCTCACCTGGAATCCTAGCTTCTCAGGAGGCAGAGATCAGGAGGATTATGGTTTGAAGCCAGTCCAGACAAATAGTGCATAAGACCCTATCTCGAAAATACCTTACACAGAAAGTGCTGGTGGAGTGGCTCAAGGTGTAAGCCCTGAGTTCAAGCCCCATTAACACAAAAAAAGAAAGGAAGAAAGAAACTCCCTGACTTTCAGCCACTCTCCATCCCCCCCATTATACTTTCCTCCCAGGCCATCATCATTTCTCTACCCTCTGTCTCTATTTGCTTGTTCTAGACATCTTTTGAAAACTCCTCCTGTCTAGCCATAATTCTGTGTCCTTCGACTAACATCTTCCCATCTTCCCTCCAGCCACCCAAGCCTCCAGTAGCCACCATTGATTCCTGAGAGGCCCTGGTTCTTGATCCTTTACCTTTGCCTGTCAGATTTGCACGTTGAGAAAGTTCTCTGTCCCAGTTTTCAGTCTGGCCTTGCTGTGCCCATCCTCATACACAGGCATGTCAGGGTTCTGAGCAGGTTGTGAGCATGACAGCCATGGCAGAACTAGACTCCACCCTGAGCTCACTGCCAAAGCCAGTGCAAAGATCAGCTTCCATTGCTTTGAATCTCTTCCTGAAGCTGTCCCTTGGTACTGCAGGGAATTGTCTCCTGCAGGACAGTTTTTAATGGACCCCCTGCTGAGCTAGCCCTCTGGGTTCATTGTGGTTCCCTGGAAAGAAACCAAAAAGTCTCCCATATGTGGCTGTGTGGGATTATACAAGCAGTGTCACCATCAAAGAGAACTTACTATTTGATCATGATTTTTCTTGATTCTGTGGTCAAAGGGGATGACACAGCTTCACTCTGGAGTTGTGGGGTGTTCATGGTGGGCATCTTGTCACTGGATAAGTTGCTAATTGAATTCTGTGATGACTTAAGCTAGAGAAGTCTTCCTTTGCCGTTTTACTCATGTCACTGCAATTCTGTACTTTGTATGAAATGTAATAAGGAGAGTCTAAGTAGAAACGTAGCATTTTTTATTTTTAGTTCTTTTAAGTGGAGATCAGAGTTATTTGTAACAACTGGTAATAGCCTGAGGTTATCAGATAAATTGGGCCCCACTTGGACATGCTGGTGGCAGTGTAAACTGGTGTCACTTTGCTGGAGTTCAGTTTGGTATTATATATGGAAAGCCTTGGAAAATGTGTGGTTCCTCTGACTTCATACTTCTGCCTATTAGAATTAATACAAAGATTATAATCAAAGATGATCTAGTAACGATACATGGAAACATGCAAAATATCCTAAATATGAATTAATAGGGAACTGTTAGATGATCTGTTACTATGTCCATATGTCATACTCCTAAAAATAATGTTACAGAGAAAAAGTGTACTGGTGTGACCCAGTGTCTAGACTTAAAGTCAAGTTTTAAAATGCAGGTGAGATGTTGATGTGTGCAGTGTGATGAAAGAAGGTGGGGAAAATAAATACCAACATCTAAACTTGGCTGTTTGTAGATGTTTCTTACTTCAATCTATACACATGTGCTTTCTAACAATTTTATAACCAACTTTGTAATAAAAAATTTATTTTTACAAACTAAAAAATAAATATTTTTATCTGCATACTTGTTTGAATATTAATTTGTACATTTTCAGTTTTAGCTTCCTGGATGTTAGACATATGCTGATTTTTCCAGCATACTCTTCTTATCACAAGTAGAACATGGGACTTACTTATCACATTATAATTATGCCAGGTAAGAATTCTGGATCCAGGAAGTCAACACTACATAAAAGAATAATCTCTTGTTATCACGGACCCAATGTGAGTCAATCCATTTATTAAAAGGAAAGTCTTGTTTTCCTCATATTTTTGGAGGTTTCCAAGGTTCCTTGGTCTTTTGCTTTGGGGGCTTGTGGTGAGGCAACATATCATGGTGGAACCACATGTCAATGTGAGCTGCTTATGTCAAGACAGCCAGGGAGCAGCCCTGGCCCAATGGCCCTATCCAGGCCACACCCCGAATGACCTAACTTCCTTCCACTAGGCTCCACCTCCTAAAGGTACCACCTGGCAGTCACCCCACAGGAGATCTAGGCTTTTAACACATGGGCCTTTGGAGGATATACAAGATGCAAACTAGCAGTGAATGAGGCTCAGTCAGTGTCTATAACAAGTCTTTGTAGTGAGAGCAGAGTGTTCAGTTTCTCAGTGTTAGCCCACGGGGTTCTGGGAAAGACCAGCTAAACCAGAGGGCTACACAAATCCTGGGACATAACAATAAGATACCCCCAAGGGTAGTGGGAGGAAATGCAGCCTACACACAGCACTCCCCAGCAGGATCAGTCTGTTTACCACAGGCAGCACAAGTAGCTCTGGAAGATGGTGAATTCCATGCCCTAGCACCTGGGGCTTCAGCCTGGCTTCCAGCCTTCTAATCTTGGGCCAGCCTCTTAGCCTTTCTCTAACTATTAATGAGGCTCACCACCAAGGTGGTGGCTGGAGTCAGGAAATGCAATATTCGGAGGCCCCTTTCTAGTGGGAAGTATCATGTCTGCAGTTACAACTCTCAAAGAACAAAACAGAACAGAAATTGGTCTCTAATACAAATTCCAGCTGCCTAATGGCTGCAAATTCCCAGCAGCAACACGAGGCAAGCCCAGTGGCTTTCACAGCTCTTCTGCAGCTCAGGGAGGCTCAGTCACTGCTGTCCAGCCCACCATGACACCATCCAGTGACCTTGGGGTGATGACCTGTGATCAGACAGCTCTGTGTTACTAATCCAGAGTTATTTAAAAGCTTAAGCTTTAAAACCATGAGCACTTTCTTTAACTGTACAAGTTCCTATTTAAAATAAATGGTCTAAGGACTGAAGGAGTGGTTCAAGTGGCAGACCTCTTGCCTAGCAAGCGTAAGGCCGTGAATTCAAACCCCAGTATCAACAATAAAGAAGTAAAATAGTCTGGTGCTGGTGGCTCATGCCTGTAATCCCAGCTACACAGGAGGCAGAGATCAGGAGGATCTCAGTTCGAAGCCAACCCAGGCAAATAGTTCTTGAGACCCTATCTTGAAAGTACTCAACACAATGAAAAGGGCTGGTGGAGAAGCTCAAATGGTAGAGCGCCTGCCTAGCAAGCATGAGGCCCTGAGTTCAAACTCCAATCCGCCAAAAAATAAACAAATGGTCTGTGGCACCCTTCAAGAACCAGATTTTTGTACTTTAACCTGCTTGTTTCTTTAACTGCAAATAAGGAGCCCCCATAAAGAGAAATGCCTGTACCTCATAGGTGAGGTGCAGTTTCTCCTCCCTGACCCTTCCCTGTTCATATTTAGCAGCCCCTACATGGAGCTTGGCCAATCTCTAGAGCATGCAGACTTGTCAAATCAAGAATGTGCAGTGTAACTCTTGGGTATTTATTTGTCCTCAAATGGGCCTCTCTTCCTATTGGCTGAGTCTGACATACCCAAGAGTAATAGCTCTGTGGGGGAATTTAGAGGGGCCATGCCCAGGGTAGGGGAAACACCAAGTCTGTCTGTGTATATTACTTACATTGTGTGTGTTTCCAACTCAACTGCAAGGCAAACTATTTGCAAACAACCAGGGTATATTCCTTTTCTTCCCTGTTCCCTCTCCTCCTTGGCCACATACGGAGTTTCCAAGAAGATGGAAATCCCATTCTGAGAGCAATATTAAAATTCTCAGGAAGCGACTAACTCTACTGAGAATAAATTTGGTTTCTATCAAGTTTATATGAAATGTTGCTTCAAAAAATTGAAGTCATTCTTCACTGCAAAGAATTTAAACTACATGGGATGACTCATAGATGGGGATGGTAAGATGGACTGCTGCTTTGCTAGCTGGCCATTTCAGATGTCCTTATAAAAAAAGGTTTCAGGGTTTCAGTTTAAAGAGAGAGAGAGAGAGAGAGAGAGAGAGAGAGAGAGAGAGAGAGAGAGAGAGAGAGAGAGCTGGGCATCCGTGACTCATGCCTATAATCCTAGCTACTCAGAAGGCAGAGATCAGGAGGATTGATGTTTGAAGCCAGCCCAGGCAAATAGTTCCCAGAGACCCTATCTTGAAAAAAAATTTCACCAAAATAGGGCTAGTGGAGTGGCTCAAGGTGAAGACCATGAGTTTAAGCCCCAGTACCGCAACAAAACAAAAAAAGGAAGGCTTGGGGGCAGCGAGCATGGAAAGCTTTTCTTAATAAATGTGTTGGGACAAGATGTGGAGGAAATGTGGTTGTGTTAACTCCTGTTCATAATGTTTTGTCATGCTGGGGGTTTGAATGTAGAGCCTTGTGCACGTGTTCTGCTACTTGAGCTGTGCCTCTGACCCTTTTTTACTTTACTTTATTTTTCAGATAGGGTATATCATGCTTTTGTCTGGGCTGGCTTTGGTCTACAATCCTACCAACACCTCCTGTGTAGCTGGGATTACAGGCTCACACCATCACACTCTACTTCTTCTTTGCAATGGGCAGGGAGGTCTCAGTACTCCTTCCTCCGCCCTCCAGGACTGGCCTCGAACTGTGGTCTTCCTATCTCCGCCTCTCAGATAATTGGGAATCCAGGCATGAGCCACTGCAACTGATCCTTATAATGGTGGTGGTTGTTATTTTGGTGGGACTGGAGTTTGAACTCAGGGATTCATGGATTTGCACTTATCATAATGTATTTTTGAGCCAGGCATCTGTGGTTCATGCCTGTAATCCTAGCTACTCAGGAGGCAGAGATCAGGAGGACTGAGGTTCAAAGCCAGCCCAGGCAAACAGTCCACAAAAAAGGGCTGGGGGAATGGCTCAAGGTGAAGGCCCTGAGTTCAAACCCCAATACCACAATAATAATAATAATAATAATAATGTATTTTTGAAAGGGAAAAATGAAAGTAATCTCCAACCCTGCAATGCTAACCCTACTTTGATCATCAAAGCTATGCAGAGGAGTTGTTGCATGTGACTTTGCAGAGAGAGCAGCTGAGGCATGGATGTCCACTGTACATGCCAGTTGGCCAAAGGGCTAAGGACATTTGTAGAGAGCCTATTGAGGTGCTTGAGTATTGAGCTTTGGATATTTTTATTTTGAAGCCAATGAGAAGCATGGAAGATTATAGAGGAGATGGTGTCATTTGTAATTCTGTAATTATATGTGATTTACAGAAGACAAAGTTGCCAGTTCTCTCTTTCTTCCCTTCTTCTCCTCCTCCTCCTCCTTCTTCTTCTTCTCTCTCTCTCTCCCTCCCTCCCTCTCCCCTTTCCTCTTCCCTCTCCTCTTTCTTCTCTCCCTCCCTTCCTCCCTTTTCTCTCTCTCTCTCTCTCTCTCTCTCTCTCTCTCTCTCTCTCTGTCTCTCTCCATCCCTCCCTTCTTTCCTTTTTCTTTCTTGTGTGGTGGTAGGGAATGAATGCAAGGCCTTACATAAGCTAGACATATGCTCTACCACTGAGCCCCACCCCAACCCTGAAGTTCCCAGAGTTAATCCCAGATGTAGCAAAATCAGGCTTTCCCTCTTTTGAAAATGAACTTAAATGTGTCCTTTGATGTCCCTCCATTACGAATTACAGGTCACCCATCTCTTTTTCACAAAGCTGTGATACTTTGCCAACTACACATACTGCAGCGGAGCTACTGTTGACCCTCACAATGACTTCCGTGTGTCCCTTTTCCTTTTAGGATATAACCATGGTGGAGAAACAGCGGCAGCTGGGAGGGACAAGACCCCAGGGCTCCTCTGGGGGAGGGTTTGTTTCTCAAGGTTGCTTGGGATGGGCTGATAGCCCCTAGATGCTAATGGGGGGTGGGGAAGGCTCACTGCTGTGGTCCCTGGGGAAGGGAAGGCCAGTTCCTACTGCATTAGGACCTATTTGTGGACACTGGGTTGCTCAGAGCCATCTGTGATTTGGATGCTGAGCAGGAGGCCCCATGGGAGTGGGTTTCCTGAGATTTGGGTGGTGGGCACTCACTGGAGCCTTGGCCATGGTCATGGTGCTGCCCACTCCAGGAATCAGCTCAACGGATGGTGAGTTCCACATTCTGTCAAGATCTTAGAACTTTGCTTTATTTTTTTTTATTGGCCACAATTTAATTATCAAAATTTGCCCAGGTGCCTGTGAGTGTTGGCTGGGGGTAGGGTAGGGTGCTATAACAGATTCAGAGTAGCCAAGAGGTAGACTGGAGGCCTGGCTCAAGTGGTACAGCACCTGCCTAGCAAGCACAAGGCCCTGAGTTCAAACCCCAGGACTGCCAAAACAGAGTACAGGGCATACCTCTGAGAATAGAATATAGATGAGAGTGACTGACGTGCCTGCGGGAGCAATGACTTATTTTATTTATTTTTTTGGTGGTACTGGGGTTTGAACTCAGGGCCTCACCTTTGCTAGGCAGGCACTGTACCACTTGAACCACTCCACTAGCCCTTTTTCGTGTTGCATATTTTCGAGATAGAGTCTCTCAAACTATTTGCCCAGGCTGGCTTCGAACTGTGATCCTCCTGATCTCTGCCTCCTGAGTAGCTAGGATTACAGGCATGAGACACTGGCTCCCAATCTGTGCAATGGTTTAAGTCTCGAGGCAAGTGATGCTGGCCTCCCCAGCAAGCTCCATCCACATGAAGGGTCAGGAAGTAATAAAATTGATCAGAACCAGAGCTGAGACCTGAGAGGCAAAGTCAATCACTCACAGGAAATGCCATTCTAGAATTACTTTCTGTGTACACACTTATCGCAGTTGCAAATGTGATACTCCCCCAAATGGAAGCCTCTTTTCGTGAGATGCCCGCCTCAGCATCCTAAAATGCTAGGAGGATCGGGAGAACTGTGCTGGGCTTCCCATGTGGAACTTCATCCATATGGCAGTGGAAACCATCTCTGCCTTTTTTCTCACACTGTGACCTGTGTAAACAGCCATGTTTGCCTTTTTGCTTAGGCTGTAGAAAATCTTGAGGCAATGTTAGCCACCTTCCAGTATCCATTCATCTTTTGAGTTGTGTACATATCAAGGACCTCAAGCCTTTTGTGGAGTGAGGCATGGATTAGTTTTACTATTACTTTAAGAACAGTATCAAGCCGCAGCCAAAAAGAAAGTATCAAAAATTGAGAATTTGTGGTTTAAAACTAATTTTAAACAGGTGGCTTTGGTCAAGCTTAACAAAGGCTAAGGAGCAGAGTGGATAGCTCTATTCCATTCTTTGCCCTCCAGAAGGATCTCCCAGGGTGCCTTGCTTGTCAGGGTTTCTGTCCTTCCCCATTAATTTCATTCAAAGAAATAAAAAGTTTCTTTTCTCATCTTTTCCTCCCTTCATCAAGATTAGAAGGACAGTTAGGATCCTGCTGAGTCTTTGAAAGCAAGGAGCCATCTTTAGAAGTCATTTTGCTAATTTCGTCCAGAATATTTGTGTTTGATTCCCCATGACGTTTTCCAGCTTGCTCCGTCCTGCCCACTTCTTATCTCCACCATCACACCTGTCTGTGCCATGGTGTGGGTTTGGCTCTGAACTGTGCTCCCTGTTGGACCAATGAAGACCCCAGACCATGGAGAGTCAGGCTGAGGTGTGGACAACCAGACAACTCCATTCACTGGCTGGACATGATGCCCACAGCACTAGGCAGAAGGAAAGGAGGGCTGGCTAGCCCTGCAAGGCCACCAGGACCTTCTGTGACAACAGAAATGTTCAGTGTCACTGCAGCTGATAGTTGAGTCAATGCAATTGGCCAATGATAAAAAACTAATTTTTTTTTTGATAGGACTGGGGTTTGAACTCAGACCTTTGCACTTGCAAAGCAGGCACTGTACCACTGAGCCACTTCTCCAGTCTATTTTGCTCTGGTTAGTTTGGAGATGAGGTCTTTCAAACTGTTTGCCTAGGCTGGCCTTGAACTGTGACCCTCCCCATCTCAGCCTCCCAAGTACTAAGATTACAAGCATGAGCAAATCTTTAGCACCTGGCGAATATTTAACTCTTGGTTGTAGGATTATGAAGGATCTTTTTTGTCTTTTATGATGGTCTTTTCTTCTTAGATGTGTATGAGCAATGATACATATATCAGTTGATATATATATATATATAGGTGAGACTAGGGTTTGAACTCAGGGCTTTATACTTGCAAAACAGGTGTTCTACCACTTGAGCTATACCTCTAGTCATTTTTTTTTTTTAAAGACAGTCTTACTAATATAGCCAAGGCTGTCCTCAAACTCACAATCTGCCTGCCTCAACCCCATCCCAAGTGCTGGGATTTCAGGCCCAGCTAAGAGCTAACTCTTAATTTTACTTCATTTAAATTCCAGTATCCCCAAGTTGGCTGTGTTTTCTACACTGGGCTTCCCTTAATTATGTCCCTTTCTTTTTTCCTGGTTAGCACCGCTGTTCTCACAAACCTTGCATGTAGGCTATCATTCTCACTCTACCTTGCCCTACAGGCAGGAAAAAGGCTAGGAGCAGGGCAGGGTGTTAGTCTTTCATGGGTGGGGGGTGTAGATGCCACCTGCAGGTCCAGTGGCAGGTGTCTTTACTCACGGACTCACTTCAGATTTGCTAGCAGGCTATTGGAGCAAAACACAGGATTTTGTTTGCTCACTCCAAGTTGCAATTTGAAAGTGATCTGTTCCTGGGGCACAGGTGCACTTAACAAAACACACCACCAAGAAAGCTGGAAGGCACACATCTCTCAACAATGATGCAAAAACCAAGGTGCTGACACACAGGGTGAGGGGCGTAAAGACCATCAGTGAGGCTTGTGACATGAATAGCAGGAGAGGTCCTTTCACCTCCCCATGGGGCTTGGAGGCTCTTTGCTCCCTGGTCTGTGGAGTAAACTCAGGATAGAGATACACTTGCCAAACCCCACGGGCTCTCCCCAGGGGTCCTTCACTCTCCCATCTCAGAGAAGGTAGAAAACTTTTGCACTCTGCTGGACATCACTCTCCTCTCCGTTTAACTACAAATCCATAAACATTCTAGAGAGAAAGATTTTCTAATGTTCTAAGTGAAACATAAACTAAAACTAAGTTTTTTGGGCACTGGTGGCTCATGCTCACACCTGTAATCCTAGCTACTTGGGAGGCAGAGATCAGGAGGATTGTGGTTCGAAGCCAGCCTGGGCAAATTGTTCCTTCTTGTGACCCCAACAAGCTTGTCCTAGAAACCTAACTGAGGTGACAGGAGATGTAGGGAAGACAACAGACAGCAGACAAAACATGCATAAAGCTGGGGCCAGGTAGGCTGGATGCTCAGATGGAGAAACACCAGCCCCCTCCACCTCCAGGGAGTTTATTATATACAGTAGCAACAGGAGGTGGAGAGGCGATTCTTGGGGAAGGGGGCGTGACATGACAGGAGGAACCTGTGACATCTCTCCAAATGTAAACATTAAAGGAAAAAATAGCTGTACTGCATCTTGCCCACTTCTGCAGCTGAGGCTGTGCCAATCAAGCGTGCAATTTTACCGGGCATAAGTATATTTGCTCCCTTCTGCAGTTTGGGGCTGTGCCAAACTCAAACACGCAGCTTATTCAATACACCTGTCGGCTCCTGAGACCTTATCTTGACAATAACCAATACAAAAAAGGGCTGGTGGAGTGGTTTAAGTGGGAGAGCTCCTGCCCAGCAAGTATGAAGTGCTGAGTCAAACAATACCACCACCACCAAAAAAAAAAAAAAAAAGGTTAAAACATTGATGTCAAGAGTTAAGGGAACCAACAAATACTTTAAAAAGTAAAAAGGGAGTATTTTATAATGGAGAGAAGTTGACCCCAGCCAAGGAAATGGTTTAAGAAGTACAGAGGTCCTTCCCAGGGTCCCCAGAATGGGACAGCAATGGGAGTCAGGGAGAGGGGGTGAACAAAGCTAGGGTGTTCCCTCTCCCCCTAGTCTGCCTTGTGAATGAATATTCTGCTGGAAGTCTACCAGTCCCACGCGCTTGACCTTTTATTGTCAGCTGTGACTTTTTTTTTTAGGTGGTCTTGGGTTTTGAACTCAGGGTCTGCTCTACCACTTGATCCACTCTACCAGAACTTTTGGGGGTTATTTTCGAGATAGGGTCTCTTGAACTGTTTGCCCAGGCTGGCTTTGAACTGCGATCCTCCTGATCTCTGACTCCTGGGTAGCTAGGGTTACAGGCGTGAGCCACTGGCACCTGCTTGGCTAAACTGACTTTTTATTATCAGATCTTTCTCACTTCCGCTTACAGTCTGTCTCTTAATGTGATCTATTTCCTAGCCACACAAACACCCCTGCCTAAGTAAAGCCCACCTTGTCAGAAAGAAGTTGTCACAAGAGAAGTTTCTAGTACAGAGGTCAGAAGCATTAAGCACCTCCATTTCATGTCTTCCAGGGGGTGTTGGAAGAAGCTGGTCTGCTGACTATGGTATCCAGGACCAGCTGGCACAAGGCATGGTTGAGATGAAGGCCAAGGGCATGTCCAGTGACCAGGAAAGGTGAGTGAGCACTAAACTATAAAGTAGGCATTCAGAAGTCTTTCTTTTCTTCTTTTTTTTTTTTTTCTGCAGTACTGGGGCTTGAACTCAGGGCCTACACCTTGAGCCACTCCACCAGCACTTTTTTGTGATGGGTCTTTTTCGAGATAGGTTTTCATGGAACTATTTGCTGGCTTTGAGCCACGATCCTCCTGAGTAGCTAGGATTACAGGTATGAGCCACTTCTGCTTGGCAGAAGGGTTTCTTTCAAAAGAAATTGTTATGGTTTGGAAAAAGAGTGTTTCTCCCAACCCCCCCAAAAAACCTTGTGTGTTGAAAGCTTGGTCCCCAGTAGGCTGCATGATTTTAGGAGGTTCTGGAAACTTTAGGAGGTGAGGCCTAGCTGGAGGGGAAGTAGATTTCTGGGGGCAGGTTCTTGGGGCAGTCTTTTGTCCTGGTCTGTCTCTTCTTTTTCCCTTCTCCTCCTCTCCCCTGTCTTCTCTTTCTCTCCTCTTTGTTCTCTCTCCTCTCCTCTTTCTTTTCCCTCCTCATCTTTCTCCTCTCTTCTCTCTCTCACTCTTCTCCTTCTCTCCCCTCTTTCCTTCCCTCTTTCTCCTCCTCTCCTCCCCTCCCCTTTCTTTCCCTTCCCCTCCCCTTTCCTATCTTCTGTTTCTCCCCTCTCTTCTTTCTCTCACTCTCCTCCTTCTTCTCACCTTTCTCTCCTTCCCCCTCCTCTCTTCTCTATCCTTACTCCCTTCCTCTCCCCCCTCCCCTTCCCTTCCCCCTCCTCTCCCCTTCCCCCTCTTTTCCCCTCCCCTCTCATCTTCTCCTCTCTCTCTCTTTTCTGGCCACTATGATGGGAGCTGCTGTGTTCTGTCATGAGCCAAAGTGAATCCTCCACCCTGTGTTATACAGGTACTTTGTCACAGCAATGCAAAGCCTTACTAATATGGAAAATTTGTCCTGAGTGTAGGTCATTGCTGTGACTGACTATGTGGTTTAGAAGCCTCTGAAACTGGTTCACAGGAGTTTTGAAAAGTTTGGAGCTGCAGGCTAAAGGAGCCCTGAGATTCTGTGAGCAGAGCCTAGTGGGTGGTTCTGTGGGAGCTCGGGAGAGTACAATACTCACAGGAACGCAGATGGTGAAGAGTGGGATCATGAGGCTTCAGATAGGAGTGAGAATCTACTGGAAATTGGATAAGAGGTCACTCATGTACAGTGTGGCAAAGAACATGTCTGCATTTTGCCCATACCCTGAGACTTTGTGGGAGGCTGGGTTTAAGGTGATGGACTCATTAACCTGGTGGGAGGGGGAGTTCAAGGCAGCCCAGCATTTAGGCTGTGGCATGACCTTTGATAGCTGTTTCTTTGTCAAGTTTAGAGTGAGAATTGTCAGCAAAACACAAAGCCCAAGGATTTGAAAAACTTGCAGTTTGCTCGGAACAGGACCAGCTTTAAAGTTGAGCTCACAAAAGGTGTGGCTATCTCTTTAACGAGCACACCTTCTTAATGTTTGAATCATTAGTAAGAAGCCAGGTCCTTTGCACCAGGACAATAGAAAAGGTGGCTCCTATAAGAAGAGGATTAAGGTAGAAGGGAGAAAAATGATCTGCCAGAGTGGCTCAAGTGGTAGAGCACTTGCCTAGCAACTGTAAGTCTCTGAGTTAAAGCCCCAGTACCACCAAAAAGAAAGAAAAAGCAAGGAAAAGAGGAAAATGGAGGGGATGAACCAATTAGGAATACAATACATATGTACATTATATAAGATATCTGTGCATAGCTGTCTTATACAAACAAAAGCACCTTTTTTAAAAAATGGAGAACAGGAAGGTGAAACAGGTCCTGTCTGGGGGTTGGCACCAGTGGGAGGGGGGAGGATATAAGGAAAGGGTGTAGGAGGTGAATATGATGGAAATATTCTGTACTCATGTATGAAAATGGAAAAATGAGACCTGTTGAAACTATTCCAGGAATGGGGGAGGAGGATAAAGGAGAATGATGGAGCAGTGAATTCAACTATGATATATTGTAAGCACATATGTAAATGTCACAATGGACCCCCAGTACAACAATGATAACAAAGTAGGAAGGGAGGGAGGAAGGGAGGAAGGAAGGAAGGAAGGAGGAAGGAAGGAAGGAAGGAAGGAAGGAAGGAAGATGGCTTGAAGACCTCTCAGGAATTGGTCAGGCTCCACCCACAGCAGGCAGAAATTTCAAATCCCTCCCTCTGAGACAGCACTGCTAGCACCTCCATTTTGACAGGACCTCCTCAGGAAGTGCTTCCTTATGTCCAGCCATCCACGCACTTTAAGGCAGTTGCAGACAGGGCCCAAAGGGTCCTGGCTACCACTCAGGCTGCAGCAGACTTCGTGTCATCCTTATGATGTTGGATTTGTATGTAAGCAGAATGCAAGAGATGTGGGGTCATGGAGGGTCCCAGGTCAGGTAACATGTGGCAGAGATGGAGACCTGCAGGTATCCACTATGTGAGCAAACCCAAATCTGCAATGGAGACCCAAGAAGGTGGGATATACCAGGAATGTGGACCCTCTGCCTGGAAAAGCTGCAGGGAGTGATCAGAGCCAGCCCAAGAGAGAGGCCAGGTGGGCTGCAAAACCAAGCCATAGGGGTTGGGTTGCCCAAGCCAGTGGTGCTCCTGTGACAGACACCACATGGCCTTACTGAGTGTGGAGCTACAGGATTCAATGTTCGTCTTGCTGGGTCTTTCTTTAATCCCATCCCTTTCTATGCTCCCATTCCTTCCTTTTTGTTTGTTTGGTTTTTGGCAATATTGGGATTTGAACTCAGGGCCTTGTGCTTGCTAGGCAGGTGCTCTACCTCTAGAACCATGCCTCCAGCCCCCATTCCTTCCTTTCTGAGTGGGAAGGTCTACTCTGTGCCATTGCATCTTGGGAATAACTGCTTTTTGATTTCACAGGGGCTCACAGCTAAGAGTTTGCCTTGAGTCTCAGGGAAGAATTTGAACTCAAACTTTTAAACAATGTTAGTACAGTTAAGACTTTGGGGAGTATTGAAGAGGGACTGAAGGCATTTTGCATTATGAAGTGGACATCAGCCTTTGGGGCGTAGGGTCAGAATGCTATGGTTTGGGTATGAAATGTCACCTCAAAAGGCTCATGTGTTCAGTGCCTGGTCCCCAGCTGCTGATGCTATTTTGGGAGGTTCTGGAAACTTGAGGAGGTAGGACCCAGCTGAAAGAAATAGGGTACATGTCTTTGGGAGCGATGTCTTGTCCTAGCTCCTCTCTGTCTTTCTCTCTCCTTCTGCTTCCTGGACACCATGAATAAATCGCTCCACTAAGACCCTTGCCATGATTTGACACCATGAGACAAAATAAGTAATATCTCCCTTTTAACTTTTCTATGTCAGGTATTTTGTCACAGTAAGCCAAAGGAACTAAAACAGTATTATTCCACTTTTACTTCGGTAAAAAAAGAAAACACAGATAATTTCAACAAAGTCTCTTAGACTGAAGAACTCTACATACTCCAAATTAAGTTTTAGGGCTGATGGAGTAGCTCAAGTGGTAGAGCTCCTGCCTGCCTAGCAAGCATGAGGCTCTGAGTTCAAATCACAGTGCCAAAAAAGAAAAAAAATAGAATTTACTTTTAACCCAACACTCAACTTCTCTCCTTGTGGTGTTTGTGGCACATCTGTGCTTGGCCTGTGATGTTACAAAAATGGACTCCAAAAATGGACACTTGTATATCAATTTAGGTAAGCCTAGAATCTTTCTACCTTCCCCAGCTCTGCCATAAGAGAGTATGAGCTCTGACATGCCATTCTTGTTTCAGGAACTCTCAGGGTCATTCCTCGTAGTGGCATGCTATGGACCCAGCTCTGGGTTCACTCTGTCTGGGGGAAAGAGACAAGGATTGCTCCTGCACCTAGGGCTCTAGAGGCAGGTGTGGCAGAGAGTGGGTTCATAGCTGGAGGTCTAAGGGGCTCCTCCAAGGGCTGCATTCCTCCTTGCAGAGGGTTCCTGCCGAGTGCCCAGGGCCACCTGCTGCCAGCCAAGGACAAAGCTGTCTGTTTCTCTGTTGGGACCTTTGGTGGTTTGCCCAGAAGTTCAACAGAGGACAGGTCACAGGGGCTCAGTTCATGGGTCTTACTTCAAATCCCCTGCCCCACACTTCTCGAGACTTTGTAGTCAACTGTCCACTGTTAGCAAGATGTGGCACAAATGTCCTTTGCCAGGGCCAGAAAGGTGACCTAGTCTGGGGTGTGGCTGTCCTCTGGCCCAGCACAAGGGCCCTGTGATGCAGACCTTGTCCAGGTGGGTGGTTGGGTACCAGGTGGCTGCAAATTCTGAGTCAGATCCCAGGTCTGAATGCACCCCAACAGGCCCGTTCACAAGACCTTGGCAGGTGTGTCACCTCCTCTCTTTCTCAGTTCTCATTCTCAAATCCCAGCTGACCCCTCTGTGTCATCATGGACACAGACGAAGTAGCACTAAGCAAAGTCTGCACTCCTGCCTTTCTAGCTCACTGCTTCTGTGCCTTGACCATTACTTCAGTCAAGAATTCAAGTCAACCACAGTGAGGACAGCTGGGCTGCAGCATGACCACATTATGCTCGGAAATGCCCATGCCTGTGTCATAGCTGTCAAAGACTGGCCAATTTGGGTCACAGATTTTGTCCTTTGACTTTTTTTCTTTCTTTTTTTCTTTCTTTCCTTTTTCTTTCTCTCTTTCCCTCTCTCCTTCCTTTCCTCCTCCCTTCCCTTCCCTTCCTTTTCTTTTCCCATACTGGGGTTTGAACTCAGGGCCTCAGTTTACAAAGAGAAAAGATTTGTTTGGACTCAATTTTGGAGGACTCAGTCCATATTACTTTTAGGTCTATAGTGACACAGAAGATCACGGCAGGGAGCAGAACAAAACCCCTCATGTAAGAGAGAGAGACTGCAGTCCCCTTCGGTCCATCTCCAATGACCTGAAGACCTACCACCAAGTCCTGCCTGGTAAAGGTTCTGAGTCTCCCAATTGTGCCATTCTGGAGAC